AATGAACATTTCAGTGTTTATACTTACACTGTGGATTTATTGATTGTTTATGTTGTTCTTCAGCTGGGGAAAGACACATCATTTTACATTGTTCCAAAGCACTAGCACATTTGGTCTTCCATTTGAACTCATTTACTATTTTAGGTCATATGACCTTAACTGTTGGGTCAACTCATTGTCCATGCATTCACATCACCGTGTCACTTCAGATTTGGTATTCAGACCTGCCTGGAACTTGTCCACTGTTTTTCTGTATTTTTATGTGATATCTCTGCTTTATATATTTTGAGATTGTCAGATGGAATTTTTTTTTTTTCAAAATCGTATCCATTCCAGACTCTCTAAAGATTAGATTCCAAATAAATGTCTGTTCCATACCATGAGTGCTTTCCACACAGCAAGCAAAGACAGTGGCAGTGGGTGAAACACATATTTTAGCTGTGTCTTTTTGTCAGGAAACAAGTATCTTTCATGATTCTCTACATGCTATAGCTACAAACTAGGCCACATCCCACCCTAGATGAAAGTGAGTGATGGCAGGTGAACAGTTAATTCTGCATAGTGTCACCTGAGCAGAAATGAAATTTCTTCATAACACAGAAGGAAAAGTTGCATATTAGATAACTAACAGTGTGTACCCCAAAGGAACATCCTCTATGCTATGTATTTACAACGTCATATTTCTGGGCAAGGGTAGGTGCTTGCTGTCCCACAGGCCTGACAGAACACCAACTGTCCTGGAAGAGCAGAATTCTTCACTTTCAAGACTACAGCACTCCTCTAAATCCCATCTTGAATATCATCCCCTCGCCCCAATCTCTTACAATGAAGACTGGCCAGCACTTTCTACAAAAGGAGACACAGTGTATATTTTTTGGCTGCATGAAGCATATAGCTTTCATCTCAACTATCCAAATCTGCCACTGCAGTGTCGAAATTACCATAATTTTTAAATGAGGGTATGTGGCTGTGTTTTAGAAAAACATTTTTAAAATCAGATTTCAAACTATATATCTATCTCCCCTACTATTGTTTGCTGATCTCTGACCTACATCATTATCAGTATTTTATTTCTAAAATCTGAGTTTATGAAAATATTACTAATTAAGATAGTAATTTCTCCTTTCACTAACTTTCATATCATCTTCCATATACTCACACTATAAGGTGCATTATATGTACTGTTTTTACATATTTATTTTCTCATATACATACTAATAAAATTTCCAATATGCAGTTTATAGATTGCCATAATTACTCTTTCAGTAGAATCTTGCCTGATATCACAGATGAGAGACATACAATTACTCTATCTTCCCCTTTTTCTCTATTTTATACTATTAACTTTTCCGTCAACCATACTTGACTCAGCAAGAGAACTGTAGACTATCAGCGATTCCTCCATTCTTTTTCAAAATACTTTTAAAGACTTACCTCAAATGGTAGAGTTAGAAACATACCAGGGGATTCCAATTCAATCCCATCAAGGTGGCATGTACCAATGCCATCTCACTAGTCCAAGTGATCAATTTCAGTTCACAATTGATCATAATGAAAGGACTAAGAGTCAAAGGGAGCACATAAACAAGTCTAGTGTCTGCAAATACTAGCTGATAGAATAAAAAAGGGAGAGTGATCCAACATGGGAAGTGAGATACACAGCAGACCCATAGAATGGCAGATGTCCTAAACAGCACTCTGGCCTCAGAATCAGCCCTTAAGGCATGAGGATCCGGCTGAAAAGCCCATGAGAGTATTTCAGGCATGGAAAGCCAAGACACTCTGGGGGGGAAAAAAAAAAAAAAACCTAAATGAAAGATCTCTGCGAATGAGATCCCAGTGGAAAGAATGGGTCATCAAAGAAGGAGGTACCTTTCTCTGAAGGGAGGAGAGAACTTCCACTTTGACCATGGCCTTGTCTAAATATGTTCAGAGTCAGTGAACTCAGGGGGCTTCCATAGCCTTGGCAGCTCATGACAAGAGCCTAGGGTGATTACTGATGCCATAAACAAGAGTGTCAATTTGTGAAGTCAACAACAGGAGTCACTGTGCACTTACTCCTCATGTAGGATCTTTGTCCTTAGTGTGCTGTACATTGAGATTTAATGCTATAACTAGTACTCAAACAGTATTTTTCACTTTATGTTTCTGTGTGGGAGCAAACTGTTGAAATCTTTACTTAATGTATGCTAAACTGACCTTCTGTATATAAAGAGGAATGAAAATGAGAGGGAGTGGGAAAGGGGAGAGTTGCAGGTGGGAGGGACGTTATGGGGGGGAAGCCATTGTAATCCATAAGCTGTACTTTGGAAATTTATATTCATTAAATAAAAGTTTGAAAAAAAAAAGAAAATGGAAAAAAAAAGATTGATTTATTTATTGAAAGGCAGAGTTACAGAGAGGCACAGGCAGAGAGAGGGAGAGAGAGAATGAATGAATTAATCTTCCATCCACTGGTTCACTCCTAAAATGGCTGGAACGGCCAGATCTGGGCCAATATGAAGCCAGGAGCCAGGAGCTTCTTCCAGGTCTCCCAGCAGGCGCAGAGGCCCAAGCACTTGGGCCATCTTCTACTGCTTTCCCAGGTGATAGCAGAGAGCTTTATCAGAAGTGGAACATTGGGACTTGAACCAGCACCCGTATGGATGCTAGCACTGCAGGTGGTGGCTTTACCCGCCATGCCACAGGCCCCCTCCTCCATTCCTCTCCTCCTGTCCAAGCTGTATTGCCTTCTCCTCCATCTGCTCATTTTTGTTCTCAGGGAATAGACATCATTCACTGGAAATATCTAACAAATATGCCATCTCAATTTCTTATCTTTCTCCACAGCCCATATTTCTTATTTTTTCTCTGTGAAATTAAAATTTTTCTTCTAGTCTGGTAAATTCTCAAATACAAGGACAGTAGTTTTGGTATGATCACTTCCCATTCATGCCTTCAATCCACATACTGATAGAATTTTTGTTTGGTTATTTGTAAGAAGAGAAACAACATGGTTTTAATTTAGATAAATCTCTATATTGTCCTAAAAATGCACCTGCTGTTCAATCTCACTGTCCTTCTCAGTAATGACTGCAGCGCCTTTCGTCTCTCTTGTTTGGCCCACTCACCAACAGTTGTCCCTTTTGTGCTCATTGGGTCCACCAGGACTTATAGTATTGAGCCCTTTAATTCCTTCTCAACTCTCCTGAGACCAATAAGCCCAAGTACATTCAGGCATATTCCCCAGGCTCTTGGAGCCTGGTCCCTGTGGTCCAAAGGCAGCCAGTTTGCAACAGCACTCTCCCCTGAGACTAGCTAAGAAAGAGACTTAGTCTCCTTTTCTTAACTGCTACCCCAACAGCTTCCCCAGGAGCAACCACCTGGCTCAAGAGAACTAAAAAGGTCTGGCATCTGGGAGTTGAGTAGGGAAGAAGCTGCACTCTTATAACACTTTATCTATACATTCAAATTTGTAGAATGAATTGTTAGAGATCAGAGTAACTATTTTAAGATTTTACTAATTTTTTAAATGTGGAGTTTCAGAGAGAGAGGGAAAGAGAACTTCTATCTGTTGGTTCACTCCCCACAAATGGCTGCAATCTGCAAGGCTGGGCCAGGCCAAAACTAGGAACCTGAAACTCCAACCAGATCTCACACATGGGTGCAGGAGTCCAAGTAATTGGGTTATCTTCCACTACTTATCAGGAATATTAGCAGGGAGCTGGATCAGAAATTGAGCAACTGGGACTCCCATCAGCACTCACATGGGATGCTGGCATTGCCGGCAGTGTCTAAACCCACTGCACCATGGATCTGGCTCTTAGAGTAACTTTATCATAAAATAATATCAATATCAATACAGCAAAATTATATACATAAAATCCTTACTGAAAAGCATGTCTTCTAAATCAAGTCTAGAATCTCACTAAGACAGTTAAAATTAGTATAATAACCAAGCATTACTTTAAACATATTTAAGAAATTCATCTATGAGGTAAAAATAAATTATGTGCTGAGTGTTTGGCTGTGCAGTTAGGATGCCATTTCAGTGCTTGGATTCAATTCTCATCCCTGCTCACAATTGCAGTGTTCTGCTGATATGCATCCTGGGAGAGCACAGGTAAAGAATCCAGTAGTTGTTCCTCTGCCACTCACATGGGAGACTTGAATTAAGTTCCTATCTCTGGCATTGGTTTGACCCAGCCCTGGTTGTTGTAGGGATTGAGTTAATGCTAGCAAATAGGAGATTCAAATTCTCTCTCTCTCCAATAAATAAAATTAATATAAAATTTATAATACAATAAAGTAGCCAGACTACAAAAGTCTGTGTGGCAGAAAAGCCATAGATCCTCAGTGACTTGCAAACTGCACCATGATATTCTGACTACAGCGTGATCCTGCAGGGGAACCTGGAGTTAATTTCTTCTTAGTTTCAAGATGAGTGAATTTGAAAAATAACTATTTCAGTTTGCACATTTAAAAATGATATTCAAAAATGTTTCATAGGACTATTGCATGTTTTGAAACAAGTAAGGTATGTAAATGCTTACAAGGATTGGAAAGGTTCTATTAAGATAGCAATTATTTCTACTACACTCTTTATCATAACTTAGTCCAAAACTGTAAGCTTAAAAGACATACAGGCAAAAATTTCAGACATAATATACGCAAAGTGTCACACTGAATTTGTTGATATGTTCTTAACAATACACACAATTTTCACGAACAAAAGACTACACAATCACACAAGAATTGCAGGATTTTTCCTATTCACTATTTTTTCCCTTGAGATCAAACCATAACCAAGCTTACATGCCTCAGAATTAATTGTAATACATATAATTGTTAGACCCAAGTCATTAAAACTCTATGAAGAAAATATTAAAATATATTGAAACTTCTGTAGATTTATTCATGAAAGAGCAAAGAAAAAAACCCCAGTAAGAACTAATCTTCAAGGGATGGTTCTGGATTTTTTATATTAAAACCCCCCGGGTATAAAATGATTTTTTTCTTACCCATATCTGACATTTCAGGCACAGTAACGATGTATGGTCCATCTGTGAACTTTGGAGCATTGTCGTTGATGTCTTGTACTTTGATGATGAACTCAGATTCAGGTTCCAGAGGTTTGTTTGTCCTTCTGTCAATAGCCTGCGCGTGAAGCACATAGTGGGTCTTCTGCTCTCTGTCCAGGCTTTTTGTTGAGTGGATGTCGCCCGTGGTATCATCAATAATAAATATGGTCCCAGCACCTTCTCCAGTAAGTATGTACTTGACAGATCCATCACCTTTGTCAGAATTGGAGTGCAGCTGGAAAGGACACACACAATAATTTAGCATGAAATTTTATCCCAACCTCACATCAAATTGTTTTAATATTCTCTGTCTATAATCTAATAATTGGTTTCATTAAAATTGTCTTCTCTCCAGTTTCATGCATGTTACCACAATCATTTGTGTCTCTGTGGTTTTTCTCTACTTTCTTGATGAACACTTGCTAATAAATCAATTATGGATATGATAAATCAAGGGGTTATATTTATTAGAAGAAAATAATAACCTTTGTTATCATACCACTAAGTAAATATTTCAATAACTGCAATAACATTGGGGAAATATATTTCTACTAATCACTGTTGCCTTCCACACCTGTGACAACAATATGAGGGGGCTTATTCATTTATTTGTTTCAAAATTATTCTATATTCAAAAATATATTAACATGAAATATTATACCTTTTATGGGGTATAATACATCTGTTTCTATCTTAAAGCTAGAAAAAAGGAACAAATTTATATTCAAATTAATGACTAAAATGTCCATAATGATTAAAATGTCCATATGTCACAGGGCATCAACTTTGTTGAAGATAAATTAATGAATTAATTAATTTATTTGAAACAGAGTGACAGAAAGGGATGGACAGGCAGAGAGAGAAAACAGATTTTCTATTGGCTAAATGAGCAAAGTTAGGTCTGGGCCAGATTTGAACCAGAAGCCAGGAACCCCATCCTGGTCTCCCACATGGGTATCAGGGACACAGGTATATACGTCATCAGCTGCTGCTTTCCCAGGCCCATTACTAGGAAGCTGGATTGGGAGTGGAGTGTCTAGTACCACCAGCGTCCCAAGTGGCAGCTTAACCTGTTGAGCCTCAATGACAGCCCCAGGACATAATTTTAGAGTTTTTTAAAGAACATTTTCTAATATAAATGTTTGGATTTTGAATTTTTAAAATATTAATGGTATTTTTCTTTAAATTACCTTGAAACTCTAACTCAAAAGTTCAAATAGTTGTGATAGAGTTAGTAGTGAATGGATCTCCTTTTTAAACCAATTGAGATACACTAACAAATTCTCATTATTAGAATTAATTGATCAAATATGCATAGAATAAACAATAGGAAAGTAGAAAATTCAGTAGAGAAATATTCAAAAAGATAGCTAACTATCATATTAAGGCAAAAGAAATTGCCTTCCGGCACTTAAATATAAATAAATGCTTTTAAACTCTAAATAGTTCATATTTGAGATCATACTATAACTAAAAACATCAAAACTCAGCTAAATTCTTCCAAGGATACCAGCAGTATATTTCTAGCTAGAAATAACAGCAGTATTTTATGACATTACAAATATATATTTGAAGAATTGCTTCTCCCAACGGATCTGAACAGTTTATCCTTCAGAAAAACCTTTTTGGTCACATAAGTTCAACCACTCACCTTTTGCTCATTTCTAACTTGAAGACATTGGAAAAATGTAACCTTTTTCACATAGCATTTCTTGCCATTGGGAAGTGAACATTTTCAAGGTTTATTTTAAAGTCTTTGAACAGTTAGAAGATGGATGTAAAGCTAAAATACTGAAATACAGAATACAATATAAGGAAAGCACTAAGACAACTGGAACCTAAGTGATGGTACATTAGGAATAATTCTAGTTCCTTTTTGGAAACACAGAAGACATATTAACAGGGAAAAATTCTGATGGAAATCACTCAGCAAGATTCAACATGTGAAATTATTTTAAAAATGATTATTTAGATCTCTTACAAGAAGGAGGAAAAATATGTCAGCAAAATGTGGCAAACACAGCTTTCAAAGATTCACACTTCACAGGTAAATTTAGTGCTAAAATAAGGATGTAGAATAAAATGGAATGGAGACAATCTTATGTATATATGAAAAGATACTAATTTGTTTCTAAATGCCTCTTAACAAATCGTGTTAGTACCTAAAAGATTTATCATTTATGGAGCAGACAGGTAGGTATAAAATACTAACAGAGTAAGCTATTTCATATTTTCCAACTTTTCCTTAAGCCATAACTGAAACAATAATGCAAAGTGACAAGTTCATTTACCAAATGTTTTTAAGACCTTTCCTAGAACACACATCATTAAACTTACCAAAAGTGGGATGGTATTGTAATTGTGCTATACTGTTATATATAAATTTTAATTCTATATTATAAAATTGTAACCAATTAAACATTTTTGAGAAATGTTAATGTCTTCTAGCAACTAACTAAGGAAAGATATAACAGTAACAATTGACCCTTATCTTCAAGACATACATGGCAAATTCCTTTATTTTTAGTGAAACCAGTTTTATATAATTTAGTTTTAGATTAAAGGTTCATAGTACAGATACTATGTATAAAGAATGGGTTTCTATATTATTATATTAGTCTGTTTTCTGCTGCTGTAACTAAGTATCTGATGCTGGATATTTTATAAAGAAAGAGGTCTAATTAGCCCCTAATTTCATTGGGTAAAAGTCCAGTATTTGGCAGCCCCATGCCTTCAACCTCCAGTGAAGGCCTCCTTGGCTGGGTCACATCCCAAGAGAGAGACAGAAAGGGAAATGGTCATTTGCCAAAGAGGTTGAGTGCACAAGGCAGCTGTACTTTAAAACTATCGATAGAACAAATTTGCCCTGAAGACCAGCATTAATCTTTTCCAGCTAAGATGCGCTCATGACCTAACTTCCTCCCATTAGGCCCCATCTCTTAAAGGTTCCACCATCTCTTAATATCACCACACTGAAGATGAAGGTTGTGATGCACTTTCTGTTGGGAGCACAAACCACATGCAAACCATAGCATATGTAGATGGGCGACAGCAGTACACGAAATAAATGGTAAATTTGTCAACCTACAGCATCCATTAAAATATACACACACTATACACTGTCTTTATAACAAATCTAGATGAAATAAAAATAGATAGCTTTTTATGTCTTTAGATTTTAGGACTTGAATCTGGCTCAATATTTATATAGTTTTTTGTTTTGTTTTGTTTTGACAGGCAGAGTGGATAGTGAGAGAGAGAGACAGAGAGAAAGGTCTTCCTTTTGCCATTGGTTCGCCCTCCAATGGCTGCTGAGGCCGGCACGCTGCGACTGGCGCACCGCGCTGATCCGAAGGCAGGAGCCAGGTGCTTTTCCTGGTCTCCCATGAGGTGCAGGGCCCAAGCACTTGGGCCATCCTCCACTGCACTCCCTGGCCACACCAGAGAGCTGGCCTGGAAGAGGGGCAACCGGGACAGAATCCGGCGCCCCGACCAGGACTAGAACCTGGTGTGCCGGCGCCACTAGGTGGAGGATTAGCCTATTGAGCCGCGGCGCCGGCCTGAATATTTATATAGTTTTTATATATGATAAATTACTAGGACTATTTCAGAAGTCATGATTAATTTGAATAGGTTGTAATATAAATTTAGCATAAATCTTTCAGATTTATGACTAAATTGAACATAGATAACAATAAGATCTGTGAATTATTACTCAGTTATATTTGTACTGTTGTATAACATCAGTAAACATATCAAATTATTATAAAAATATATGTGGATTATATCCATTGCTGATAATTTTTAGCTTGGGTGTTTAAATAATATAGATGATCACCTTATTAATGATGCATTAATTACTTAACTATCAGTTGAATCTTGAAATGGTCAGATTCCATCTAACACTGATGAGAAACCATTATAGTAGAATTTGTTCAATTGATTAGTAGTTACAATATTAGGAACATGGCCACTTTTAAAGCAGCAAAGTGATCAAATCACAGATTCTCTCTCCTTTACCTCATCTATTCACAAATATTTAGTTTTGTTTGCACTATCTAATGGGAAACAGAATCGTATCCTGAGAGGAACATTGACTATTTTATTGTTTAATAAGTGGGTTTTAAGTCTTTGGAGGAGCACATATTTATTTATTTATTTATTTATTTATTTTTTGACAGGCAGAGTGGATAGTGAGAGAGAGAGACAGAGAGAAAGGTCTTCCTTTTGCCATTGGTTCACCCTCCAATGGCCACCGCGGCCGGCACGCTGTGGCTGGTGCACCGTGCTGATCCGAAGGCAGGAGCCAGGTACTTATCCTGGTCTCCCATGGGGTGCAGGGCCCAAGCACTTGGGCCATCCTCCACTGCACTCCCTGGCCACACCAGAGAGCTGGCCTGGAAGAGGGGCAACCGGGACAGAATCCGGCGCCCTGACCGGGACTAGAACCCGGTGTGCCGGTGCTGCAAGGTGGAGGATTAGCCTAGTGAGCTGTGGTGCCAGCCTGAGGAGCACATATTTATATGTGATTTGCAAGGCAAGAAATATAAATGATGCTGCCTGCACTGTGATGCAGCAAGTTAAAGCTCCCGCCTGAAGTGTTGGAAACCCATATGGGCATCAGTTAGCGTCCCAGCTGCTCTACTTTGATCCAGCTCCCTGATAATGTGTCTGGGAAATCAAAGGAAGATGGCCCACCATTGGAGACCAGGAAGAAGCTCCTGGATCCTAGCCTTGGATCAGCTCAGTTCTGGCAGCTGAGGCCATTTGGGGATTGACTCGGTGGATAGAAGACCTCTCTTGCTCTCTGTCTCTACCTTTCTCTATAACTGTGTCTTTCAAATAAATTAAATCTTTAAAAAGAAATGTAAATGAATTAAAGCATAAAATAGGTGAGTAGTAATGATGGTAGTAGGGTAGTAGAGAATAAGAGAAAACCCTTAGAGACAAAAAACCAGGATTGAAAAATAAACACAATGAAGATCTGTCATTTTGAAATATATGCAACAATAGGCCATTGCATGGAAGGGACAGAGTGTGCAGCATGGACATTAGAGACATTCTGTATATAGATGTAATTCTTTTGTAATAGTAATTCTTTTTGTAATAGCTTACAACAGTTGTTGTAAGCCAAGCTAATTACGACATTATTTAAAAGAGATGCCCATAGTGAGTTACAATGAAATAAGTGACAAAGTTGTTTTTACTCATATCCAACAAATTATTTTTAGTAGA